ATATATATATATATATTACATGATTTACAAAGTAGCCTTACATCAGCTGCCTGCACAGTCAGAGGTGGAAGACTACAAGGGCCATCTGCCCACCTGTGCTCTGGACAGCCAGAGGATTCAGTCAAACATCAAGACCTGGAGCTCACTACAGAGTCTCACATGAGTCTGTATGGGGAACCAAAAGGTCTACATTGGAAGATTAAAGTCTGGAGACGGGTGTCCAAAGGTGATGGTGAAGACTGGAGCTCCTCGGAAGAAGCAAAGGAAGACTTCTTCATCCCCTTTTTACTCCATCCAGGCTACAAGCCTATTAGTTGGTGCCACTCAGATCCAGAGTGGGTCTTCCCTCTTCAGTAAAGCAATCTCTAGATACACCCAGAAAGGTGCTAAACTAATCTGCTAGGCATTTCTTACTCAAGTTAGCACCACGATTAGCTATCACAGGTGGGAACCATGGGGCACCCTCTACACAAATTTGTCCCACTGTTTCTAACATGGAAGGTGCATAAGACAGGCCTATAGTGGGAGACGGAGAGGCCACACCAATCTTTAGGATAAGAGAGAAAAGGGCTGGAAAGAATATCTATCTGCCTTTACTCTCTTCTTTGAACCTTCTCACAGTTTCATGGCCTCTCACTCAAATTCTCTGTCTAGTCCTCAGTCTTTCTTACTAGTTTGTGAATATTAGCCTGTAACCTGATTATATTTTCCCCTGAAGTGTAATTAACATGATTTGCATGACCACACATTAGGGATATAACTGATGACTTGGCCTCAGTTTGATGAAAAGAAATATGTCTTCCTTTCCCCCGTTTCTTATCAGCCCCTGAGTCTACATGAACCAGGCACTTACTAGATGTAAAAGATTTTACAGTCTCAAATGTACTAACTCACTGAACCCTCACATCAGCCCTACAGAGTATGTTGTTACCTCATTGGACAGGTGAGAAAACTGAACAGAGCCCATGGCGGTACTTCCTGAGAGACACAAAGTAGGACTGTGAGTGGTCAAGTCATCTTCTGTCTTCTCAGGCACATCAGGAAATGACGTGCAATGAGTTTACCTCTTTGAACATGGCTATATTTTATGAGCATAGTCTTTTAAAAAAATTGAGTCTTTTAATAAACGTGACATGCAATATTTAAATCATCCAAGTGACACTCTATGTTAACACTGACCATTTATTCTATGTTAACACTGACCATTTAGCTTATTCCTTTGCCTTATTGTAAATTTTTATGATTTTGGGAGGTGTTATAGCTTGTGTCTAAATGTGCCCCCAATGCCTCACACTGTCACATGTGGGACTTCTCAGAGGTGGCTGGATCTAGAGTGTGCGATCAAGGGTGTGTGATTTCTAAATTAGTCTACTGATTGGTATAGTTGTAGGTATAGTTTTAGACATAGTTCTAGGTAGGATTAAGGGTGCCCCACCCTGCCCTAAGGGAAAGTAGCCTGGACAAAATATAAGGGACAAAGAGTCATTGCTTGTCACTGCTTGCTGCCTTCTGCGTGCCCTGTCCTGCTTGGCCATGAACTGTTTTTCCTCTGCGATGTCCCTCTGCTATGCCATTCTGACTTGGAGCCAGCCAACTATGAAGTGAGACCTCTACAAACTGTGAGCTAAATAAACCTTTCCTGCTTTAACTTCGGGTGTCGTGCATGTTGTTTCAACAATGAGAAGATAAGTAAGACAGGAAGTATTAGTGTCTGCACTCACAGCTTACACACACCACCCTGATCTTCTCAGACAGCCCACAGGTACCATACCATCTCTATGTGCTCCAAAGAATTCTGCCTCTGGCTCCAGGCTGTGTATTTCTTACTGTATCTAAATATGTTCTCCAAACTCTTGTGTTGAAAGTCAACACTGGGGATTTAGCTCAGTGGTTACATTGCCTGCCTCACAATCACAAGGACTGGAGTTCGAGCCTCAGTACAAAACAAACAAACAAACCAAAAAAAGAAAGAAACTTAATCACCAGTGTGACAGTATTAACAGGGGGAGTCTAGTTATTTAGTCATGAGTGTGAAACCCTAGTGAACAGGACTAGCCACCCTATAAATGGGCTGAAGAAACTATCTTGAGCTTCTGCCCTTTCATTGGGTGAGGACACTAACACAGCCATCCATATGGATACTTACTTGCCGGCACTTTATTTCTGTGGCAGACATGGTAGTGAATGTCTGTGATACCAGTATTTAGGAGGCTGAGGCAAGAGGATCACCATGAGATCAAGGCCAGCCTGGGCTATGTAACATAGTGAGACCATCTCAAAAAAAAAAAAAAAAAAAAAAAAAAAAAA